AGGCAAGTTTCGGGAATTTAGATCAAAGAAGGTATTATCCAGGTAGGCTTGTTGTATATGACTTAGAGATAACCACACGGCTTCTTATGGTTGACTGGCTTGACAACTAGAAATCTTCGTACTCTTCAATGATACTTTGTAGTTTTTTACTAGTGTATATTATTATTAAAGCACTGAGCACCAAGGAGGAATACTGTGCTAATTTCTAAAACAGAGTTTTGGTGGTACTCATGCTATGAAGAAAAACCAATCCACACAAATATATTGAACATATATTCAACGATCCATTTTGGTTGATCCAACAAACATTTATTCAGCCCATTGTAAATGAGTATGAAATGGAGATCCATTAAATCTTGATTTCTATCCTAAGGGGGACAAAATTTACACGTTTTGAGAGATATGAACAACTTGTTGAGTAAGGTAATCTCATCTCCATTTTATACATGAAGAATTCAGGCTACCCATTTCTAGGATCAGATAGCTACGAGGTGGCCCACCTGGGATTTGACCCCCAAGCACAAGGCTGCAAATCCTGAGTTTTAGCCGCTGGGATTCCAGATGCGTGATTTTTCTCCCATATCTACCATTTCTTCAATACCAACTGGATGTCCTACAATTCAGTTCAGTTCTGACACTGTTTAGTTAGTGTCAGATCCTACAAATTAAGGGCTCAGTTCCAGGAGACTGCCTTCGCTTCAGATGCCGATTCTAAGCCTCAAGTTGTCACTTATACTTCCATCTGACTTGCCTATAAACTGGGTTCCTTCCTTCCTTCCTTCCTTCCTTTTCTTTTCCTTCTTTCCTTTCTTTCTTTCTTCCTTCCTTTTTTTTAAAAAAGATTTTATTTATTTATTTGAGAGAGAGAGTGAGAACATGAGAAAGGTGAGGGACAGAGGGAGAAGGAGACTCCCCAGTGAGCAGGAAGCCCGATGTGGGGCTCGATCCTGGGACTCCAGGATCATGATTTGAGCCAAAGGCAGGCAGACACTTGACTGACCGAGCCACCCAGGGGCCCCTAAACTGGGTTTCTACCACTCCTTGCTCAGGTTCAATAAATTGCCCTGAACAGCTCACAGAACTCATGAAAACACTTATTTTCCAGTTTATTATATAATAAAGAATATGATAGTGGATGCAAATGTACAGCCAGATGAAGAGATACATAGGGTGAGGTCTTGATCCTGAGTTCTAGAGGTTTTCTCCCTGTGGAGTTGGGGTGCACCTCTCTCCCAGCTTGTGATGGGTTTACCAGCCTTGAAGCTCCTTGAACTCTGTAGTTTAGGGGGCTTCACCACATAAGCATAATCAATTATTAACTCACTCTTTAACTGTTCTCCCCTGCCTAGGGGATAGGGGCTGGTGTTGAAAGTTCCAAACTTTCAATAATGGCTTGATTTTTCTGGTGACCAGCTCCCATCCTAAAGCTATCCAGGAACCCAACAAAGTTGCCTCCTTCGAATATAAGATGCTCTTGTCACTCAGGAAATTCCAAGGGATTTAGGAGCTCTGCATCAGAAACTAGGTCAAAGACTCAAAGGGTAAAACAAAAGTGCTCCTAGCACCTTTATTGAGTAGGAAGTTCCAAATGTTTTAGGAGTTATTAGCAGGAGCCAAGGACAAAGACCAAAATATGTCTTATATCATGATCTTATATGTTCTGAGATTTTCCGTGCCCCTATGTCCCCCATAAAGCTCTTAACCCCAGCCTTAGTTCCTATTATGTTTCAAATAGCCTATAGAATTTGGCCACTTGTATTACATATTTTTTTCTGACAGGCCATGTAGTTGGAACTTCAGTATACTTGTTGATTGATTAAGGTCATTTGTTTCATCATGATATATATGTCCTTGCATTTCAAGACCAGGTGTGGATTTAAGCAATCTGGAATTTCTTCAGGAAAGTACAGGTGCAGTTTTATGAAACATGGTTTGATTTATATCTCCCCTGTGCCATTTTGGGCCATTAGCTCTTTTCCTGTCCATACTCCAGTCACACAGACTCTGAATACAGACTCTAATAAGATATCTTGTTAAATATGCCTTGCAATGGAAAGGTAATGCGCATTCCTTATTCTTTCATCCTGAAGGAATTTACAATACTGGGGAGGATTGAAAGTAGGGAATCAGTAAAGTGCTGTGATTAGGGAACAGCAGTTCAAGTTTGAAAAATCTAGGTTTTTGTTTGGTTTTGTTCTGAGAAAGAGAGAGAGAAAGATAGGGCTCATGCAAGTAGAGGGGAGGGGCAGAAGGAGGGGGAGAGTGTATCTTAAGCAGGCTTTGCACTCAGTGCGGAGCCCCATGTGGGGCTCAATCTCATGACCCTGAGATTGTGACCTGAGCAGAAATAGTCAGAAGCTTAACCAACTGAGCCACCTAGGCACCCCAAAAGAATTAGGTTTTAATCCTGGTTGCACTCCTTCCTGACCCTCTCTCTTTCAGGGTCAGTCTTCTCTTCTGTGTAATGGGGATAACAATAGCATCTTCCTTACAGGTTGTGTAAGTAAATGAGATCAGGAGGGTAAAGCGCTTGGCACATTAGCACTTGCTCTTATTGTGGGAAATGGAGGAGGGTGCTCCTGCATTCTATCATTTTACCTCTATCATTTCCACTTCCTGGTGTATGGGAATATTATTAAATTTCAAGAAGAAATGTGAAAGGATTCTAATGAAATGATTTACTTCTTTAGTGGGATACATGTTAAAAACATTCAAAGTCTGTGTTTCTTTTTATGCTAAAGAATGAAAACCAAATAAAATTCGTCAACTAGTGAAATCAAGTACACTTAATTATGGTTTTGTGAGTTAGTGTAAGCCTTCTAACTTCTCTGGGCCTCTTCAGCTTCCTCCTCTGCAAAATAAAGGATCTAGACCAGATAATTGCATGGTTTCTTTCCACTTAATTTGATTCTATTAAGCACTGCCATAGATATAATATTAACTAGATGCTATACAGTCATCTTTAATATACTTGAAGATAGTTATTAACTCATGCCTTAGCCTTTGTTATTAATCATAGGAAAATTTAGGGAGTCTTTGTTTCTACTGTACATATTCTTTTTTTTTTTCTACTGTACATATTCTTAATCTGTGTAATGAGCTTCAGAGCCTCAGACGGTAGATCTGAGCTGTCCGGTGGCTCCATAATAGGGATTATCTTTTAGAGAAGGGCACCTTGTCTTCTGTAAGTTGTGCCTGGAACGACATCAGGCCCTGGGTGAGATATAGAGGATCAGAGCCGGGAATCCTGGGTCAAATTCGAGAAGTAAATCTTGCCCAGGGCTGGGAACATGACTTTATCATTTACCTTTTTAAAAAAATTTTTAAGGGGCACCTGGGTGGCTCAGCAGGTTAAACCCTCTGCCTTCAGCTCAGGTCATGATCCCAGAACCCTGAGATCATGACTAAGGCAGAGGCTTTAATCCCAGGACCCTGAGATCATGACCTAAGCTGAAGGCAGAGGCTTTAATCCACTGAGCCATCCAGGGGCCCCTATCATTTACCTTTAATTCAGAAGTGTTAGTGAACCATTTCCAAGGATGAATTGTTCCAAAGGGCAGAGAGAGATGTCGGTACAAAAGGGTCACCAAGATCTGTTTGTGAGAAAATTGAAATGGGGACAAAGAGGGTCTGTCAGCAGACAAAATACTTCTGATCTATCATTTCTCAGATGAGGAGAAAGAGACATGAAGACTTCTTTCACTTATAGCTAGATCATCAAAGATGTTCATGGTAACATTTTAAAATAGCAAAAAAATTGGTAACAACACTAAGGGATTGTTAAACAATTTATGACATAATTATAGGATGGAATATTATGCATTAACTAACAATGATGTTTATAAAGAATGCTTAAGTGTCATGGGAAAATGTTTAGGGTGTAACAGATAATAGCATATATCTGTTGAAAAATATAAATAAAACATGATATTAAACATGTAAAAATCTTGACAGAAAAACATATGGAAGGCAATGGGCCAGAATATTAACAATGTTTGTATCAGGGTGGTGAGATTATGGGTGAGTTTGTTTTAATAATTATTTTTAACATATAAAAATGTAAAATGTATCTTTTACTAAGTTTTCTATGTGAATATACCCTACCTTAACAGTCAGAATAAAAAACCATGTAAGTTATCTTTAAAAATTACAGAACACCTCAACTTAGGGTACTCATATAAAGCTTAGATTATCAGGGAAGGAGAAAAAAATTACCAGGAAGGTTTTGAGGAAGCCATTGAGTACAAGATCTTGACCCGGATGGCAGATGAAGAGAGCAGGGTCGGCCCCACCAGTGGGATGACTCCATGTAGAAGGCCTGGCCCGCTGAAGAGGGTTGCAGAGGTGCGGTTGCTGGCCTGGGGAGCCTGTTACAGAGCCTGTGTTCATGCCTCTTACTCAGCCTTGAATGGCTCCTTGTCATGCTTTTGGAGTCTCCCTTTGCTCAAGAAACCCCCTCCAAATGCTCACTGGTTGGCACTTGTAGGTGGGGTGTGTTCCTGGAAGCGAGCTGGGGAAGGCTCGGTATAAACTGAGCAGTGTGTGCTAAATGCTCCACAGGGCTACCTATGCCTCACCCAAAAGTTCAATTCCTAATATCTATAACTCCTCCCACACTGATGCGCATGCTTCCCAAATCCCACGTAATTCTTGTTGTCTTCTTGACACAGTCTTTCCCCATGCTCTGAAAACCTCTCCTCTGTGATTGGCTTTCTTCCTCCTTTAGAATACTTTGTCTTCCCTTCAATTCCTGCTGAGTTTGAAGCACCTATTTCCACAGCTCTGATACATGTGTGTGGAGAATAATTCTCATGAGCCCATCATAGAGTAACAGACATTCTTTTTCAGTGACAAGAAAAGCTTGTCTTTAAAAGAAGAGGAAAAGTCTAAAGTCATCAAAACAATGTAATATCCTGTGTGAAATGTTGCAGTCATGATGCCTTGTGGTTTGAGTCCCTTGATCATGTGCCCCGAGGGAAATAAGTTGGTGGGGGCTGTGGATGACGGAGACGCTGAGGCTTCAGCAGGTACATCTTCTGTTCCCCTCACACTCTGGGCTCCTCGGGGAGGAGGGGCTGGAGCCCTGGCCCACCATTAGCACAATGATCCTCAGGCTCCTTCTGGCTCTCAACTTCTTCCCCTCGATTCAAGTAGCAGGTAAACATTTTTTATTTCTTTTCTCCTCTGGGTTTTTCTTTCCAAGTCTTTGGTGGGCCTGGCTTCTCTTAAATTTCAGACAACTTATGAAATGTGGACTTTTGAAATGTAGTTCTGCTCTACCGTGGCAGCCTGTTACTTAGAAATCCACTGAGTCTCCATCCACAGTATAATATTTTAACAAACATTCTTTGGAATTAAATGAGGTTTATTTAGTTATTAATTGATAGTGTCACAGGAAGCTACGAAAATGTTGCTTTTTAAAAAAAACAAAACTGTATGACAACTGCTATAAGTAGGTGGGTCCTGGAAGTTCTGGATTTAGACTGCCAGGATTCATACCGCTGATCCATTTTTTTACCGGCTAGGTTTAGACTAGTATGTGGACTTGCTAAGCCTCGGTTTTCTTCTCTATAAACTGGGGATGGTAATAACCTCATCTCAAGTTCATTGTGGGGATAAAATGAAATGATCTGTGTGAAATGCTTAGTATAGTCGGAGCTTGTCTTGCAAGATGAATGTTAGTTGTAGTTACGACTCTACTCGAATCAAATGTGTCAGAATGAATTTTGGAGTCATTACAGAAGGTGACACAATACAAATGCCAATAAATTACTTTCTTTTACAGTTGGCTGAAATCTATTATCTTAGATTAAAATCCCTTACGTTCCCAACGATGATGAGGAGGATATACCTAACATTATTATAACAGAGCTCCATTTCAGATGAAGAGACTGAGGGGTAGGGATGTGAATTTGTCCAAGGATATACAGATATTAGTTATGGGACTCAGGATCTGAACCACCTTTAATCTGACTCTTCAGCCTATGCCACTGACCATGACATTATTCCACCTAACGTGATATGGTTTATAATTTCATAGCTCCAGAAAATTCCAGGGGTCAAACCATCTTTGGAAAATCACAATTCCAAACGGAAAGAGCTTGTTGCTTTGGTGGGCTGGAGACAGGTATTTGTTCGACTTGTTCTCAGAGTTAGAAAATTGTCTCACTTGGCTCAAGATTCGTACTGATGAATGAGCACGTTTAAATAAGAATTGTTCTTTTTCTCTTGAAGATACATTGAAAAGCCAGTATCTTCAGTTTTTTTTTTTTTTCTCATTTATTTTGGTGGGTGTAGAGGCTGCATTATTTGCTGTTATTCTTAACATCGTGTGCATGGGCTCCAAAGGGTATAATTTCCCAATATGCACAAGTGACATAGTTACAATTACGCCCATCTATTTTTGTTGCCTTCTGTGCCAGTGAGCATATTTACAAACTGTGTGTATTAATAAAATGTACCCATTCAGTGAAAGACATAAGCTGGTGAGCTGGGTTATGCCCCAGCATCTATCTGGTGCCAAGCATTTAGAGCTACCAAATATATTTCAAAAGAATCTTTAAAATTTATTTTAAAGAAGGTCTTTAATGTCTATCTTGAGGGATCTTTAGAATTTATTTTAAAAAATATTTAAAATTTCTTAATTAGTTATAAGGAAAGGATAGACAGAATAGGCAGAAAGGAAAGAGGAGCTCATCCTCACAGAAACTATTTAAGTATTTGTACACAAAATACTTTCCTGATGTGCTCTGTGGACATCCATCTGTCATCAACTCACTGAATCTCTTTTGAAGATGTTTTTGGTAAGACACAAAGCTTTAGATTTTTCCTTTAGAACATTTATTGAAAGGGGGGTAGCTTCAGAACCCTGTTAAGGATACACACATGTGGGACCTTTGTTTTCTATTTTGAGATACATCTACATTGCGAAGACCAACTCACCCCTGAAATAACATTTATGATTTGATGCTGAGTGGCCATCTAATGAAGTAGGAAAGGGCTAGAGAAGGCACTTTTGAAGTGCTTCTCTCAGTAAAAAAAACTTTTGTGATAAAATAACTACATCATACCAAAAATGCATGATCCATTCTAATCAATGGTGCAAAGCCTGCCATATGTTTTTGTCTGTATTTGTCCTCCATGAAGAAATTATAGATAAGGTAAAATTCTCTGGTCCTCCCCAGCATTAAGAAAGTTTTCTGGTATGGCTGTGTTGAGATGTGTGTGGTGTGTTGTGTATGTGTGTGTGTAGGAAGAACAGTATTACATGGTATCTTAACTAACTGGAATTTGAAAACAAGTTTTTTAAAAAACAGGAAAAAAGGAAGAACAGTCCTTTTCCTCACTAATTTAAAGATTCTAACTCACTGGCTCCCAGCATAGCTTAAAATGCTTATTCTATGAAAGTTCAACCTAACCTAATTCTTCATGATTTTAATGACACTGTAGAAAGATTTTTATGAACTAATTTAAAGAGGCATATAGGGAGCATGAAGAAAAATTCACTTACACAATTCCTTTCCTAAAGTCACATGTTTCCTACCAGATTTGAGTAATTATGCAATGGAGATCCACAAATTGAGAGGATTTTGTTGGATTTTCAAATAGGAGTCTGATTTAAAACTGTAGTTCCTTGAAAGGGAACTAATTTGTGATGGATGATAGAAGGAGTGTGCCTAAAATAGATGGCATTGTTCATAGATTTTTCAGCCAATATTGGTCATTTTTCAACAAGGCTAATCATCTAGTATGAAGATAAAAATCAGGACAACTTATTTTTCCAGGAGAGGATTTCTTTTCATTTCTCCCCAAACCTCAGCAAATAAACTGTCAAAATGGCCAGTTCGAACATGATTGATTTCTCCAATGCTTCTGGATTTCTCTTGGCACTTTTTTTTTCCTGAGAGAGGCACAGAAGGCAGGAAGATGGTTGGTTTTTAATAAAAAATCCTCAGCAAAGCAAGGTAATGAAAGAGTTCATTTTTAGTTCGGCAAATGCCTCCTTTGAGGTAGTTGTTCATAATGGCAAGTAACTGACCTCTTATAGGGAAGAGCTGCCATGAGGGTAGGCTTAGGAAAGGAAGAGAGAGGGAGAGATGAGCATTGAAAAGGCATTGTCGTCCGCAGATTGCCTATCTACCTAATGTCCACTGCACAGTAGCCTGTTTTGTTTTGCTTTTTGACTTAAAAAATTGACTGGGTGTTTTGTTATCTCAAGTAAATTCAATGGGCATTTCAAATGTATAGATGTTGTTTAAGACAGGCTATTACTTTTTTTTTTTTTTTTTCAAAGGCAACCATCCAGAAAAAAACTTTTACAGCAAGGACTGTAAAATCAATATCAATATATCAATATCAAGAAATAGAATGAGTCATTTTCACAGACAGATTAGAAGAGAAATGAATCTGTGATCATAACTCTGAAGCTCTCACATTAAAACCTTTGTTATGGGTGGGGGGGTGGGGATCTTGTCTCTTCTTAAGACATAGACTGTCCTCCCTTTTAATGTCTTTATTCTATTTTCACTGGTGGACAATTGCCACATGAGTACCATTCAGCTTTTACCCTGTGTGGATAGTTCCCTTCAAGTATTTCCTGTAGGCAGTGTGCTGACATTTACAAAATGAAAATTTTTATGCTACCAATATCCTAGAAGAAAATTCCGTTTGTGGTTTATCATCTCTAAAACAATAGTTCTTTTATTAACTAGTGTAGGCATAGATAAGGAGACACGACTGCCAACTTTCTTGTCTACAAATCAGAGGGCAGGCCATCTTTCAAAGCACAGTTACTTTGCAGCAGGTCACTGAAAAGGATAAAATCTTTCATTTTCCCCTTTCATCTCGGTTAAATGTTTGCTTGCCTCTTTCCTTCAAGAAGTTTGTTACTTATGGAAATACACAGAGGCCAGTATAAGTATTCTTCTCAGTAGTTGGTTTGGCTGAACTTCTGGGAAAAAATGACATCTGGGTGGTTTCGTGACTGACTGAAGGGGACTCAGGTTTTCGAAGCTGTGGTAGTTAGAAAAATCTGTCTCTTTTATGGCGATTTCTTGACACCGTGTTGTCATCAAAACATGGTACCCCAAGCTTTTAGACTGAGAATTGTTGCATGAGAAGGGGTCCCTGAAGCCGGGGGGAAGGGAACACAGGCCCCAGGGGGAAGTGGTTGCAAAATGGTTGTCTAACTTCTTGCTTGTTACCCTCATTTTGATGACCCTGAACTTCAGAAGGGAGGAGCACTGGATGGGGTCAAGGGCTACTTGGTCATTTGTTAGAGGATGTGAGAAAGAGAGTTTAGACTCCTTTGGTCTTGGTATTTAAATATTTTTTTTAAAAGGTTTTATTTATTTATTTGACAGAGAGAGATCACAAGTAGCAGAGAGGCAAGCAGAGAGAGAGGGGGAAGCAGGGCCCCTGGCGAGCAGAGAGCCCGATGCAGGGCTCGATCCCAGGACCCTGGGATCATGACCTGAGCCGAAGGCAGAGGCTTAACCCACTGAGCCACCCAGGCGCCCCTTGGTATTTAAATATTAAGGTCATTGGCGTCTTGACTGAGTCTGTGTTTCACCGTGCAGGTTACGTGTGTTTATGTTTTCAGTGCTGGATGAAAACCTGCACCGTGGTGGAGAATTTCTTACTTAACTCTGAGCTGCAACTTTATCTCTGCATCACCATTACCGTCATCTTTGCATTTGTCATCATCTTCATTATCTGTGGGACTCTGGCTGCCACGGTAACTGCGTTAATGGTTCCTGATGGTGTCATAAATGTCACCCACTCATAGTTCGCTCTGACCTCTGATCTAATCGGTGACCCTTTTCTGCAGTATCTAAGTGAACTTCATGGCTCACAATTCACCATGTAATGTATTGATTATGGCAGGAATTCCTGTTCATCACCCAGTCATTCATACAAGAATCTGCATTACTGACATGTGTTACATTGTAATAGTGACATCGATTCCCTTGTTAGGAACATAGGTGGTTGTTTGATTTTTTTTTTTTTTAACACTTGCTGAGAAGGTAGAGGGTTGTGCTTTTCATTGCTTAGGGATACCTAACAGATGTTGAAGTATCAGAACATCACTGTGGCTGTAATCAGCTTCCATGTAACCCGATGACTTTCTTTGGTATTGGACACTACTACTAATAAGG